AAGCCATAGTAATCAAAACAGCTTGGTATTGGCATAAGAACAGACCTCAGGACCAATGGAATAGAATTGAAAACCCAGAAATGAACCTACAGACCTATAGCCATCTAATCTTCGATAAGGGAGCTAAAACAATAGAATGGAAGACAGACAGCCTCTTCAGTAAATGGTGCTGGCAAAACTGGTTAACTACATGTAGAAAACTAAAGCTAGATCCTTATATATCACCCTGCACCAGAATCAACTCCAAATGGATCAAAGACCTTGAACTCAAAGCAGACACTCTGAAAACATTACAGGATGGAATAGGAGAAACCCTGGGTCTCCTTGGCTCAGGCCGAAATTTTCTGAATAGAGACCCGGAAACACAACAAATCAAAGAAAGGCTGGACAAATGGGACTGTATAAGGTTGCAGAGCTTCTGCAGGGCAAATGACATAGCTAGCAAGATCAATAGAAAGCCCACGGACTGGGAGAAGATCTTTACTAGCCATACAACGGACAAGGGTCTCATATCTAAAATATACTTGGAACTCAAAAAATTAAACCACCCAACAACAAATCCTCAAAGAAACAACTGCCCAATAAGTAAGTGGGCGAAAGACTTAAAGAGAAGCTTCTCTGAAGAAGAAAGAAGGATGGCCAATAGACACATGAAGAAATGTTCAACATCCCTAGCCATAAAAGAAATGCAAATCAAAACAACATTGAGATATCACCTCACTCCAGTTAGAACAGCAAAAATCAAGAACTCTAACAACAACAGATGCTGGAGGGGATGTGGACAGAAAGGAACCTTACTTCATTGTTGGTGGGAATGTAAACTTGTTCAACCACTTTGGAAAGCAGTATGGAGGTTCCTCAAAAGACTCCACATAGAGCTCCCCAATGACCCAGCAATCCCACTTTTGGGCATTTACCCAAATGATCACAAACAAGGCCACACTAAAGCTACCAGCACAACTATGTTTATTGCAGCATTATTTACCATAGCTAAGACATGGAACCAACCCAGATGCCCCTCAGTAGATGAATGGATCAAGAAGATGTGGTATATATACACAATGGAATTCTATGCCTCCATCAGAAAGAATGATATTTCTCAATTTGTTAGGAAATGGAAAGGCTTGGAAAAAATTATATTAAGTGAAGTAAGCCAGGCCCAAAGAAACATAGGTCCCATGGTTTCCCTTATTTGCAATATCTAGTATAGGTATGAGTCAAGCGGAAAAAGTCAGATAATGTGATGTTAGGAAAACGAAACCTCAAATATGTATTTTAATGTTTTTGTTTCTTTCATGCATGTGTTTCTAACGCATTTATAAGATTATTTCTTTGTTGCTTTGTATGTCCCTCCCCCACAGTGTAACCCCCGCTTTCACTATATTTGATGTCAGTATAACATGTGGAGGAGATGGGGACAAACAAGTCGTTTAAGGATTCAGGTGGACCTGTTGCAACAATGAGAAGTACAAAATGTCATGTCAAAACCAGCTTTACAATGTCGGTGGGGGGGGTGGGGGGGTATGATTGGGTGGGAGGGAGGGGGGAGGCTGGGAAGGGAGGTGAAGGGTAAACAAAGGAGGAGGCTGCAATGCTTGGTAAGAAATGTATGCATTATCCTGCCCATGTAATTGTAACCCCTCTGTACAGTATGTTCTCAAATAAAATAAAATAAAATTAAAAAAAAAAAAAAAAAAAGAAAGTAAACATAGGACAACCATACTTGGTGGATATTTCTAATTGACAAAATAGATAAAAGCATCGCCAGTGGAATTCTGCAAATGAGGCGATGATTTCTCTTTTAATTTGTTTTCATAGAGACAAAATTTCAAGTATATAGATATTATAGATTGATTACATCTAGACAATGAAGAAATACATGACTTATTTATTTACTATTTCTGTGTTGAGATTTTTGTCCATATTTTTGGAATTTTTCAAGAATATTAACTATTAATTATAACTGCATAATGCAAGAGATCTACTCTATTTCTTCTTGTGATATAACTGTAATTATCTATTCTTTGAATAACATTTTCCCAACACTTTATCTGCACTCTTACTTCAGCTTCTGATAGGAAGAGTATCTAAAATTGAAGTCACTACTTTAGGGAGTACTGGATAATACAATATAATTCTATTAGATATACCTTCTGCAAAAGCCTCAGAGTTAAGTGGAGATGTGATGAGATCATATGTTTGGTCCTTCTGTGATCTCTGGTGTTTTCGTAGAAATGTAGTTTTAGGTTTCTTTGCTTAATTTTTGTGTGTGTGGAGAGGGTTCTTTTGGAGAATTTCTAGAGGCTTTCAATTAGTTATTTATTTCATGACAAACCTCATCCCCTGGTTAGAAGTTCAAGTAGGAATTCATCCAAACTATTCAGCATGTCTCATCTGAGTAAACATTTGAGTGCTGAAGAATCACTACTGAGAAGTTTTGTAACACTTCTTGTTCTATGAGAAAGACTCAAGAAAACTATTTTATTACTGACACTGAAAACTAAAATGCAGTGGCATTTTAATTCTCTAAAAATACTACCGTCTCAGTGTTCATATGAAATCATCCTTCAAAAGTTTTTCTTTTCTCTTGGGAAAAAAACCTGAAAGTCACCTTGAAAAAAGATGATTAAAGTCAAGATTTGGGATATTGGGTCCTTCTTCAATGAGACTTATCTTTCTTTTCACCAAAGGGATAATAGAATTGACAAGGACCAGTTTAGGCCTGAGAATAGGGTAAAGGATCTCATAAAGACTATATCATCTCACAAACCTCATTGCCAATGCTCCTGTATGGATTTTAATTTTTCATAGCACACATGAAGCCAAATGATCATAGTATTGGTTGGGTAAATTTTGTCAGAAGAAACATATTTGAAGTATTTTGAAGTTATAGTATCTCGAGGCCTTCTTACTCAATACAATTTGTATCAGACCACATTTCACAAAAGAACCAAGTGTGTAAAGGTTCAAATTTTGCACTTACAATACTTGTATAGACAGGGAATACTGATAACAATTTATATTTTCACTTAATCAATTTTTGCTCCTATTTACTTTTCTCAAGCAGGATACACATATATTTCATTAACATTTTTCAATTCTAACTTTCAGTTCCCGAAGCTTGACTTGACAAGTTTATATTTATCATTTGGAACTATTCTGCTATTATCATAAATGATTATTTTATGGCTCTAAGGTATAGCAGGTCATTTTATATTTTTTTGTTATTCTTTAATAATTATACAAATGAAGTTCAGTTCAACATGTCAATTTGTGAATACAATGCATCTTGATCAATATCACCCTTTTCATACTTCTCCCCCATCTCTCCTAATCCCACCCATCCCCTCAAGTTACCTAATTCTATTTTCCTACATTTAAACTGAATATTATGCCTGCATTTGCCTACCATTTCCCTCCATTCATCACTTTATTGGTAGGTTGAGGTGGAACATGAAGGAGAAATACCTTACTGAAAGTTTTGATGACAATAAGTGATCATGAGTAGAGAAAGTTAAACAAATATGCACATAATACACACAGAGCAGAAGGTTTGTGGGAATTATGAGTTTTCTCCTATCTGATTAATACATGAAGCCAATCTTAGGGTTTACTAGTTTAGGGATAATTTTTCTTTGTCTTCACATTCATAGAAGAAAGTTTGTCAGACTTAAAAAATGGATGAAGATGGAATGAAATCCACATCCTCACAGCTGATCTATAATAACAGTCATATGCCCTTTGTTCAAACCTATTAAAATGACTAATGCTGCCTTGACACCCATTCAAGTCACTTTTCTATGGGAAATCATTCATCAAAAATGCATATAAATCTAGCCATCAATTAATCATCTCATACAATAGGTTAGTCTTGCAATTTTTATTCTAATACATTTTTTTTTCACCAAATAAAATGTAATTGTTACTGGAGAATATCAAACCAACAATTCCTAACAAATATGTGTGGACTTGTAATAAAACCCAGGAATACCTATGTGGAGATATAAAGGGTAGGGAGTAAAAAAAACTAATTAAAATTATTATAGAAAGTGATAAGAAATTTGTTTTGATTAGATTACAAATCAGTTTGGTTTTTAACAGCATATAGTATCATTGGACTTTATAATGAAACTGAACATGGAATTTAATGGTACATTTAGTGACTACCTGGAGGCAAAAAATGGTAGTGCAGCTTTAGAAAATCCCAATGGTAATCTAATATGCTTTACCAATGGTCAGACACATTGCACTTATTCTTTAAGCATAACTTACAAATTGAAAATAGGGGATTAATTATAATAACTTATTTATTACTTATGCCAATGCTGAGAATGTACAATAACACACAATTAGAGGCCAAGAGAATTGATTTGCTAAGATTTTACCTTCGTGTTTTGTAAATGGTCAAATGTTTTACTGCAGATTATATAATCCATTAAAATATTACTGTGTTTGAAAAATATGGCAGTGACTTCTTCTTCCCTATTCTTTTCTACTTGGTGTAATCTGTGTGACAGGGGAATTTGCTGGACTACCTCATTAATTTATAGACAAAATCCAAGTTGCCCTCAAGTCAAATGTATATGAAATTCTCTTGATGCTATTAACTGCTTCAGTCCATATCAATTTTGCTAGCATAAACATAATTCAAATTTCTCACTTAAAAACTGTAGATGCATCATCTCCTAATATCATTGTTTCAATTATCTAATCTTTGTGATGCATTTGTGGAGTGTTAAATTAGCCATGTAAAAATTAAAGTATAGGGAAGCTCAAATTTTAAATTATATGCAATGATTCCAATTCCAGGCTCTTCTTTAGGAAGAAATATTCTGATACTAACTGTGGGTATTTATCTATCTATCTATCTATCTTTTTTTGTTTTTTATTTTTTAAATTTATTGTATCTAGGAGAGAAAAGAATTTACAATATAGCATAGCAGATATGAACACCCCAAGTGTGATAAAAACCTGCCAACCACTCTCTAAAATCCATGTGGGCATGCGTCTGATCTAGGCATTAATGGGGGCACTGCCATCCCCCATCAGTGAATCAAGACTAGTAGATTCTTTTTGTGAACTCTAGCACACCAAGTACCATGTCAGGATGTGACTCTAGTCTCAAGTCTATCTATCTATCTATCTATCTATCTATCTATCTATCTATCTATCTATCTATCTATCTATCTATCTATCTATCTATCTATCTATCTACCTATCTATCTATCTATTTTGGTGCTGGTCCTGGGGTTTAAACTTCGGGTTTGGGCACTCTTCCTGAGATTTTTGCTCAAGTTTAGCACTCTATTATTTTAGCCACATTTTTTTCCCAGCATTTTAGTTTCATAAACTTTCTTCCTCAAGCTGGCTTCAAACTTCAACCCTCAGATCTCAGCCTCCTGAGTAGCTAGGGATACAGGACACTGGCATCTGGCTAACTATGGATTTTAATTTGGTTTTATTTTAAATGATGCATTTTTCCATGAGTAGAACAAGTTGTTTAAAGCTCAGTTTTTGTTGGACTAGAGTACAAATGAGAATTACATTAATTTGTATCTTTTTCTGTTATCTTTTCTTATTTTGTATTTTTACCTAACAACAGTGAACTGTATCATATTAGTTTCTTATATCTACTGTTACAAACCACCTGAATTTAATGCCTTAAAACAATACAAATATTTCCTTATCATTCTACATGTTATGAATCTTTTAATCAAGGAGAGCATTTGAGATGAGTTAGGACAAAGAAACTTCTTGTGTGTGAATAGAGGGAGAGGGAGAAAAATGAGGGAGCAGCAACAAGTTAGACAAGAAATGTACTTAGTACCTTACATACAGAACTGTAACTCCTCTGTACATCACCTTGATAATGAAATTAAAATTTAAAAAATTACCATCTCTCTCTGAAGATAGACAGAAAAGGAAATTATAGGGAACTACAGAAAGAAAGATATCATAGTTAAAAAGCACAGAGACAAGAGATGTGTTGAGAGAATTATGAACCAGGCTTTAGCAACAACACCCATATCCTGCGGGTTGCAGGTAAGGAGCCAAAGCCACAAAGACAAGATAAGCCAGGTTACCGGTTACAGGCAGAACAGCCATGAACCAAATCCACACATTTTTCTCCTTCCTCAAGAAAAGAAATAAATATCAGGACAGAAATTAATGAAATGGCAAATTAAAGAATAATATGAAGAACCAATCAAATTATGGTGATGATGAATGTATGAAGAACTGATGATGTTTAAACTTGTCAGCAGGTGCACACCAGACCTTCCATGACCATTTATTGTTTCCATCTCCATATAGGTACAGGCAGGGTTCCCACAGACTCCTCAGGCTAAAATTGTTTCTTTATTTTTATTTTTTTATTGTGAAAATACCTTACAGAGGATTGCAATTACATGGGTAAGGTAATGAGTACATTTCTTACCAAGCATTGTTGCCTCCTCCTTTGTTTCCCCTTCCCATCCCTTCCCATCTCCCCCCCCCCCCCCCCGCAAAGTTGTAAAGTTTGTTTTTTGACATAATGACTTGTACATCTCATTGTTGCAATGGGTCCACCTGTATCCTTATTTAAACGGTTTGTTTTTGCCCTTCCCTTCCACAAATTATACCAACATCAAATACAATGAAAGGAGAGATTATATTGTGGGGGAGGGACATACAAAGCAACAAAGAAACCATCTTATAAATATGTTAGAAAAAAATCACAAGAAAGAAAAAATATTTGAATACTTATCTTGGGGTTCATTTCACCTAACATCAACTTATCTGACCTTTTCTGCTTGTCTCAGACATAAAATATACCTGGAACTCAAAAAATTAAATCCCCCAACAACAAATCCGTAAAGAAACAACTGCCCAATAAATAAGTGGGCTAAAGACTTAAAGAGAAACTTCTCTGAAGAGGAAAGAAGGATGGCCAATAGACACATGAAGAAATGCTCAACCTCTCTAACCATAAAAGAAATGCAAATCAAAACAACATTGAGATACTACCTCACCCCAGTTAGAATGGCTATAATCAAGAACTCTAATAACAACAGATGCTGGAGGTGATGTGGCCAGAAGGGAACCCTACTGCATTGTTGGTGGGAGTGTAAACTTGTTCAACCACTCTGTTAAGTAGTATGGAGGTTCCTCAAAAGACTCCACATAGAGCTCCCCTATGACACAGCAATCCCAATTTGGTCATTTACCCAAATGATCACAAACAAGACCATACTAAAGCTACGAGCACAACTATGTTTATTGCAGTATTATTTACCATAGCTAAGATATGGAACCCACCCAGATGCCCCTCAGTAGATGAATGGATCAAGAAAATATGTATATATACACAATGTATTCTATGCCTCCATCAGAATGAATGACATTGCCCCATTTGTTAGGATATGGTACAGTATAGATCAGGGCTATCCAATATTTACTGGATAGTATTTACTGTTGAATTCTGTCAGAACTTTATAGAAGAACTAAGACCAATGCCTCCCAAATTATAGCATAAAATAAAAATGGAGGTAACTTTATCATTCTATGAGGCAATAGGCCCTTAAAGAAAATGTTAAATGAAACTAGATTCATAGTCTTCAAGAAGCTTTATCTAAGTAAATGTCTGTAAATGCAAAAATATCTCTCAAAATTATAAGACATGAGAATAGATGAATACTAAAACATAAAGCATTTTCAGTTCCTAACAACAATATTGACCCTGATCACCAAACAATGATTCTCTGCCTTATTGTTCAATCTTCTGTTCAATATCCTTTACAAGTTGGGCAAGTTGCTGGTCTCACGCACTTCCATGTCTCCTTGAGTTTTTCTGTGCACAAAATAGTGTGTCTCATCTTCATATGACAAATCTTACTTTAGACCTTACTGAAATACCTTCTCTTCACTGAAATCTTCCCACAATTCTTCTGATTCCAGGAAGAATGCTTGTGTCTCTTTTCTTTGTTGTTGTTGTTGATTGTGGGGCTTTACCTCGGGGCTTGGGCCCTGTTCCTGAGCCTCTTTCTACTCAAAGCTAGCACTCTACCATTTAAGCCATAGCACAACTTTTGTATTTTGTGTGGTTAATTGGAGATATGAGTCTGCCCAGGCTGGCTTTGAACCACAATCCTCAGACCTCAGCCTCCTGAATAGTGAGGATTACAGGCAGTAGACAGCAGCACATGGCTCTTAAATAGTTGCATCATCTGCTATAACAGAAGGAATCACTTTTGCACTTTTTGTTTCCACATGAATGAGAGCTTTACCGGGAAGAGGAGATCTCTTCATTATCTGCAACTGACATGGAGTAAGTACATAATAAATGTTACTGAACAAAGGTCAGTGTGCCAAAATGTAAAACATGAGTTTGTGAGAAGAAGGGCAACTAGCATGATGCTTCATGCCTGCTGACATAGCCTCAGAACTAAGGGATGAGAGGAGGCTGAGGACTCCAGTGGACTGGATAAAGTACATCCAGCTACATTGGAACCCACTCTTGAACACTAACTAGTAATTTCTGTAGGAACTCCCTGGCCATGTATTAAATGGATTCAAACTTGTCCAAAAGTTTATTCAAGAGAAGCAAAGCCCATTAGCAATTCATCCATTCATCCATTCAACCTTACATATATACGTACGTACATACATACATGTGTCTGTGAGTATATACTAAATCTCCTATTTATATCTACTAATTAATTTGCAAGCCAGCAAACAAACAAAATACATCTACAGATCATATGTGCTAGTATGTCTCAAATGTATAACTGTTAGCACAAACTAATACTTCTGAACACCTTGTAAGAAAAGATATCCTTATCTCTGCTTTCCAGAACTTTGGGAAAACATTGGAAAAACATCCAGTTAAAATCTTGGAAACTATACCATGGAAAAGATTAGAAAGAGAGCTAGAAGTCAATCTGCTTTAAATAACTTAGTCATTAACCTAATTTTCTCAGGAGAGATGATATGGTGGGACCCATCTCCTACTCTAGGATCTAGAAATCTGAAAGAAAAGTCAGTAGGGAAAAGTATTCTGCTTGATAATTGGCTGTACTAATGCAGAAAACTGAAACTACATCCTTATGTTTCTCTATGCACCAGAATTATTCCAAATGGATCAAAGTCCTCAAAGTAACACCAGATACCATGAAATTGGTACAGGAAGAGGTACAAGAAAAATTGGGGCTCCTGGGTATGGGTTGAAATTTCCTAATTAAAGATTCAAAATCTCAACAAATCAAAGAAAGACTGGGATTGGATCAAACTGAAGACGTTCTGCATGGCAAAGGACATAGCAGGATAAATAGAAAACACACAAAAGGAGAAAAGACTTTTACCAGCTATGCATCACACAAAGGCTTCATATTTAAAATATACTTAGAGTTCAAAAAATTATGACCCCCAAAAATATACCCTCAAAGAAACACAAACACAATTAATAAATTGATTAAAGAATTAGAGACTTCTCAGAAGAAGTAAGAATGGCCAATAGATACACGAAGAAATGTTCAACATCATTAGCCGTAAAAGAAATGCAATAAAAAAAAATTGAGATCCTATCCTTACCTAAGTTAGAATGTCTATAATCAAGAAATCTACTAACAACAGATGCTGGAGGGCAATGCGGCCAAAAGGGAACCTACTACACTGTTGGTGAGAATGTAAGCTTGTTCAACCACTCTGGATAGCACTATGGTGGTTTAATCTTTTAAGATTAAACATATGATCCAGAAATTCCTCTCCTGAACATTTAGCCAATAGACCACAAACAAGGCCATACTAAAGCTACCAGCACAACATGTTCATTGCAACATTTTTGACCACAGCCAAGATATGGAATCAATCCAAATGCCCCTCAGTGGACCAATGGATCAAGAAAATGTGGCATAGATAGATAGATAGATAGATAGATAGATAGATAGATAGATAGATAGATAGATAGATAGATAGATAGATAGATGTGCAATGGAATTCTATGCTTCCATCAGAAATTATGATATTACTCTATTCATAAAGATATGGAAAAGTTTGAGAAAATTGTATTCAGCAAAGTAAGCCCATGCATAAGATTGAATCTCTGGGATTGTAGACAGCCTAGATATATAAAGAAAGAACAGACAAGTAT